GTAGTAGGTAGTAGGTAGTACGTAGTAGGTAGTAGGTTGGACTGTAGGTAGTGGTGGTGGTAGTAGTAGTAGTAGCAGTAGTAGCAGCAGTAGTAGTAGGTAGTAGGTAGTAGGTAGTAGGTAGTAGGTGGTAGGTGGTAGGTGGTAGGTAGTAGGTAGTAGGTAGGAGGTGGTACGTAGTATGTCGATCGCTGGATCAGAATAGACAACCTCTGATTCGGATTCGTTCCATTTCATTGTAAAACGACTTCGCTTGAAATCAACAGCAACAAACTCTCCCTGCAAAATGTGCAACTCCAATGCACCCACAAGTCTGATTGAGCAGGGTATTTTGTTCGATGTCATTCTGGGTCTTTCATTTCAAACGGTTTGGAGAAAAAACGACAAATCATGCCAGATCTAGAAATTTTCTTTTTTTCGCTTTGAAGCCTTCTGTGTGTGAAAAAGAATATCTGGTGCGTGTCGCAATCCCTCGAGACGGTCGAAAAAAAGATCTGAAAAGGAAAACATGCACACGGCCAAGTAGTTTGGAAGAAGAATCGTTTTCAAGGTCATGTTTTGTGGATAGTCTTGGTTCGCATTGCTTGTGTTGGTTTCACTTGGTTCCTCTTAGGTGATTCGACTGAGACATGCCGGTTCGGATCGCTGGATCAGAATAGACAACCTCTGATTCGGATTCGTTCCATTTCATGGTCAAACAACCTTGAAATAAACATCAACAAACTCACCCAGCCAAATGTGCACCTCCAATGCACCAACAAGTATGATTGAGCAGGGTATTGTATCATTAAGCTGCCTGCCAATGCGGGCTCGAGCTGGTGGCCGGCGGCATGCCGAAGGCTGTAAATATTTTCGTGGATAAATCTCCATGTGGGCTGCAATGGTGAATGCACAAGATCCTGAACGCAACACAATATACAAAACAAACTGGTTTAATACAACAGCAGATTGTTTGCCTACGCAAGTTGCCTTCGTGAAAAACAAAAACATCTGGGGAATACGCGATTTGGCGCATGTGCAAAACTGTGAGTGCCTTCGCGAGCTGTGATGCAGTTCCACTTCCTTATAAACCTTTAATAAGCTTTACATGCCAATAAAAACGGTTGCTCAAATAATGCCGAACCGGAGAATCGAACCTACTTCTATGTAAACAGGCAACGCTTCAAACACTCCCTTTCAGGAACTTGCCGAGACAGAAAACAAGGTAGGACACAAGAAACAATTTGTGTCCAACAATTCCCTAAATCCTAAACCCAGTCAAGCACAGTTTATGAACAAAACGTTGTGGCTGACGTAAGCATTCCCAAATCTGAATCTGATCTAAAGGCGCTCAAGAAGCAAAATCGGCCTCTACTGGTCATGCAAACCTTTTTGCTTCGTCTGACTCGCCGATCTTAAACTAAAGATTATGACGCGGCTAGCTGAAATGAGGTAGCAGGTAGGGTCAGAATTTGGGCAAAGGTTTGTTTGGAAAGAAGCGTAAACCTTTGATGTTTGTACGGAAGGTCACCGAGACAACTACCTAAAATATATTAAAATGCAACTTATGCAACTCTTCCTTGCAGGCATTTCCAGCACCTTCTGCATCATCTGGCAATATTACGGACAATAACATGTCTTGAAAACAATTGGCCCGCAAAAAAAAAACAGCAGAGCTAAGAAAGTGAACTTCCAAAGGTACTGACCAAAAACATCATTGAATGATATCGTGAAGAACGAGAGAGGTGCATGAGGCCGTTCGCACTTTCATTTGCAGCTCCTTTGGCAAACACCACAATCAAAGTAGACAGCTGAGTCAAAGAGCAACCTTCACTAGTGGCCCAAATGAGGAAAACACCTTAATGAAAGGATGTATACTAGGATGTATGTAATGACCAGCGGGCCTAAGCACAAATGTTGCCAGGCCTGGTCCAGGCGCACTGCTGGTGAAGTGGTACGTGCATCGCTGCTGAATCCGGCAGTTGTGCATCGCTCAAGCCCCAAACAAAGAAGTTGAAACTGTATGCTTCTGCTGTTGGTCATGTGGGCAGGAGAGGTCTTCATCAGTCTTGAAATAGGTTAGGTTGCCGCCACGTAAAAAGTTCAGTATTGGGTGGTCTGGTAGTATTGGTGGCAGTAGTAGTAGTAGTAGCAGTAGCAGTAGCAGTAGCAGTAGCAGTAGTAGTTGTTGTAGTTGTTGTTGCTGTTGCTGTTGTTGGTCTGTGAACGGATGCCTTTCAGGTTGTATGTTCGATGCGGCCCGACAGTGGTCGCCACCCAAAACCAGAATGGACCAGGAGAGTCGAGCCTGTAATACTTAGGTCTTTGGTGGAGGATCTAAGCTACCAGCAAGAGCCGGCTGTCCTGAACAGCATGAAGAGCAATTTTTGTTTTGCTTATTCGTGGTTGCAATCCGGCTTGCATTGGCAGGTGTAGGCAAACATCGGGCCCAAATTATCGGAAGCAAGTTTTTTCTCTTGCAGTTTGTGGCAGGGTTTGAGAACTGTTGTCTGTTTCATGAGAGCCTGCTTTCTGCTGGCAGCGCACCAGCAATCGACAATAGATACAACAGTGCACCTGTCAGCCAAGCATGTATGCATAGCTGCAAGGTACAAAGAGGCCAGTAGTCACACACACAGAGACAGACAAACAGACACACACACACACAGGGAGACCTCTCAGCCAACACATCCCCTTGCATCAGCGCTGTTTCCTCGAAGTATTTTCTTTCAAGGCATGGTCAACAATGTAGACAATTGGATTGAGTTTGGCCTGGGATCTGTCACGGTGCTTCTTCAAGGAGGTTTCCCACACCGCACGAATACTGAACGATTCTCAATATTTGGCATTGAGGAACCACAGCCCAAAATCACTGGTAGGAAGGCATGAAGAACTCATCCTTCAACAGCCTTCGGTAGGGCACTGAACCCTCATCAAGTCTTGAAATTCTCTCAAAGCCGGAAACTATCGTGAGGCACCTCCTGTGACTCCACTGAATTGAATCGAAGGAGCTTTAAAAAAGTATCAAGAACACGCCAAATGCGGCGGGTGTCACTGCATACTTCATGGAGCAACATCCTACATCTAGGGAACCAAGGCCATGTCGTGGCCTCATGAAACATCAATCGTGCTTTGTCTTCTCAGGAGTCAGAGTGGCTCCACTGCCGTGCCTAAATTTCAAAGCTTGAAATGAAGTGATGAAGCACTCAATTCAAGAATGCACTGGACCAACAACTGACTAGGCAATCTGAAATGCTATCATCTGTTGATCTCTGTGCCCTGTTCGTACAGGTGCGGGACGTGATCCACCACAGAACAGACCGAGACTCTACGTCAGGGGTGCAAGGCATATCCAGGGCATCACGTACATCATCAAAATCTATATCAAACATTCGTGAAAAACAGCCTCAAGAGAAAAACATAGAAAAGCAAAGTTCTTGTGAGGTCGAGATGGCCAAATGTCTTCAAACAAAGGCAAAAACAGAGAGAGAGAAAGAAAGAGAGAGAGAGAGAGGTTGTATTGATTGCGCGTGCGGTGCATGTTTGTGGCCTGGTCTACGATGGTCTACGTTGGAGGTCTTCAGCGTGGCCATGTCTTCAAGACACCTATGATCACTCATGTAACCAGATGCAGCCAACCAAACATTTTTCATATCATTGGTATCAAGAACTACTGTTTGTTCATCGGTCGTAGTTTGCAACAAATGCATTGAGCTGTGCCCCAAAAAACGAATCTGTATCTGTATTTCTTGGGGCGCGGGGCAATTTTTGAATTCTCCAGGTCCCTTCAGTATAGAATGTATCTGTATAAAGTAATTATGAAGGAGTGAAGAGTTGACTTGTAGCTGCAGGTTTGAGACTTTGACTTAAGTCTGATCCCTTGCAGCTCCAGGTTTTGACGGAACCAGCTCATCCACACAGGCGTGCGGGAGGAATGGGCCGCGAAGCAGCGTGGCTCGTTGAGTGAACTGAGGCCAAAGCCCACGAAAGATCTCCAGCACAAAACGCTTCCTAGAGGCTCAAAGGCAAAGACTGAATGGGATCCCAAATGCATGCCCTCCGTGGTAACTTGCGACGCCCTGGGAGTTGGGCCATAGATCCTCTCAAGACACATGTGGGAGTTGGGCATCACGTCTGGGTGCCGAACCCTTCAGACAACAATGGCCCGATGTCTTGGCTCTTGCTATCAGCTTGCGTGAATCCGAAAGCCTCCTGAGAGAGAACAATGTCTCAGTCAAGGTCTGGGAACAAACCAAGGAAGAAGGTGGGGAAGGTGTACAGCAAGAACAGAACAAAAAACAAATCATGCTCGTTAATGCTCCCTCCACAGCTCAACATAGCAGTGTCTTCAAGGATAGCTGGCCTCGCGAGCCTCCTTTCGTGCAACTGCACCCTGCTCAAGCCATCGGAGGCAATCCATATATCCATCCTAGCAAGGTTGGAATTGGAGTCATTGGAGTTGCAGGCTTGGGCATTCAATGCTTCGTGCCTGCTTGTGCAACTACTTTACATGAAACCACGGGGGCAGGCCTCAAACAAAGACACCGCGTCGGCTTCATGTGGCCTAAGCGTCAGGCGTTGGCAAGGAATTGAGCTGCTGCTGGACACAATTGTGTAGCAGTTTTCATTGCAGGTGTATGCACTGGGGATCTCAGCGGGAAGAAAGAGAAGCACTTTGGATACGGTACCTCTGGATACACCTGAGCTTCCAAGACATGCAAGGAGCATCAAGGTCAATTTCAGAACATGCGACACATAATGGCACACCCGAACAATAAAGAAACTTCACCGCAATCTGGGTGGAACACATCGGGCAAAACACCTTCAAACCTGGGCTTGTCCAGTGCCAGCATCGCGAAGCGATCATTTTCTTTTTTCACTCGCAGATTTACACTTCTTCGCTGAGAAAAACAATTGAATTGCGATGACAAAGGAGGACATACAGCACCAAGCATGAACAGTGCCGCCATGCTTCGGCGAGACGACCAAATCTCCCTGGCTGGCAAATTCGAAGATGCCACCATCCCAGAAAGGACCTGGGGCATCTAGCTGGTACCCTGTGAATGCAGCAGTGAATCACGAATGCTGCGCAGCTTTGCTTTCCGCTGTGCTAAGTCCGGTGCCATGATTTTGTGACCACTGGGGGACCTGCACACACGCTTCATATTCTCGTTCCGTTACGTAAATAGTCGAGTCATTGCTGCATGTACACACCCAGGTGCTACACTCCGATGTTGGCGACTGCCTCAAAAGCCACGGGGATGTAGCAACTTCCCAACCTGCAATGCAAAGCAAACATGCCAACCATCTTCGGTCAGCAATGATGCCTCAATACAATCAGTGGGATCGACCGTCAAAACTATGAGCCCGTGACAAAGCAGTGACAAGCTCACTGGCACTATCAAATGTATCCTTGGATGTACAACTTGAGCCGTCGTTGACCGCTATACCATGGCGCATGCACGTGCACACACACACACACCGTCCCACAACTAGTTCGGCAGGCTGATGTGGCCAAGCTTCCATCACAAACCGGCCAGGAAAAGGTGTGAATGTGGTGACGCCCATGCTCAAGCAAGTTTTGGCGCGTTCGAAGCACTCAGCCCTGGAAAAAATGCGCCACACCTAGGCTGCACAAAGAAAATGCATCCTACACCTTGCTCAGTGCGCCCGAAATGCTAAAAAAATCTGGTTATTGCATCTGCGGAACAATTTCAGAAATGCTCGCGGAGTAGGCGCCCACGAGCCCCCAAAGTCGAGAGCGAAAGCGTTGTGTCCACGAAAGCATTTCCTCACAAACATGCAATCTGGCGCGGACACACAAACACAAATATATCTATAATCCGGACGCAGAGATAGAAGAAATTCCCGAGTATTACTAATTTCCATATTCTATTTGAAACTGCTTCTGGTGCGCGCGAAAACATTGTTCAATTAGAAGAAAAGGGCTTCGCCGGAGCATAAAAGAGGTGTTATATCATGTTATATAGCTACTTTTGCAAAAACCACTAAATAACCTAATATTTAATATCTTCTATTTGAAATCTGTCCGGTGAGGTACATCTTCTATTTGTGCTTGTTTTGGATCTTCTACTTGATTTCAGTTTTGGTCCACGCAGATTGTTTCCTTCCTCGCCGGTCCGTTGTTTCTTCACTGCAGATGGCATCTCTGGGAAATATGCAAGCATTGATGAATAGATCTAATAGACAGATATATAGATAGATTCATACATATTCACAACAAAACAGCAAAAATATCCAGAAACATGAACTATTTGGGAAAGTCCCTTTCACGAGGCCCCAATGGGACTGATCTTAGGGATAATTATTGGAATGTCTGATCTTCTTAACTTTGAGGGAGAAACCCTGGTGAGAGCAAAGCTCTGAAGATGGACTCATGGGGTAGGAAAAGGCTGCTTTGCACTCAGCTTCAAAAAGAAGATACTAGACGACGAGTGGCCCGAAAGCATTTTTCATCACGTAGGAAATCAGAGTGCGAGTTATCTGTTAAGTGTGCAGTGTGAAGTGTTAAGTCGAGTGAGTTGAGGTAGTGTGTGGGTCTCTGTCTGTGTATCTATGTCCGTCTGTATATGAGTCTCTGTCTGTGTGTGTGTCCGAGTAAGTTGAGGCAGTGCATGGGTCTCTGTGTGTCATGTGTGTGTGTATGATTCCCTGTCTGTGTATGTGTATGTCCATGTCTGCTGCTGGTGAAGGTCTTCACTGTACATATAGTGAACGAATTACCGCGCAGGCCTCCCAAACCCCCCACCGGCGGCCAAGCGGTGACAGGTGACAGCCCAGCTCATCGTCGTGAGCATTTGGGCTGGGGAGAAGCAGCGTGCACGCCTCCAGGAAATCTCACTGAAAAAAGCAAGCTGGAATGAAGCGTACTAAGGTTGTACTACATAGTCGCCAGCTCCCCAGATACTCCGCTTCTCAAGTTGCACTACCAAGTCACGAGTTCTCATCTTCCCACTCCCCAGCTACTCCGCTACTCAAGTTGAACTACCAAGTCGCCAGTTCTCATCTTCCAGCTCCCCAGCTACTCCGCGTACTACAGTTGTACTACAAAGTCGCCAGTTCTCAGCTTCCAGCTCCACAGACTGCTCCGCGTACTAAAGTTGTACTAGAAAGTCGCCAGTTCTCAGCTTCCAGCTCGCCAGCTACTCCGCTTCTCCAGTTGCACTACCAAGTCGCCAGTTCTCAGCTTCCCACTCCCCAGCTACTCCGCTACTAACGTTGCACGACCAAGTTGCCAGTTCTCGGCTTCCAGCTCCCCAGCTACTCCGCGTACTACAGTTGTACTACACAGTCGCCAGTTCTCAGCTTCAAGCTCCACAGATTGCTCCGCGTACTAAAGTTGTACTAGAAAGTCGCC